ACTGGGATACATTAAAAGGTTAAAGCCCTAACTAAACTTATTGAATTGGAGGGAAAGATATGTTACCTCTCCACCAGAGTACCATGGGCGCCAGGCTTTCTCAACTGGGACTTTGAGGGCGTTGATTGAGTACCTGGAGGACGTAACTGGAATTCGGCCATCCATATCGCCACTGCAGGTTTTGTTAAAGATTAATGCTTTAAATCTCAGTTAGTGTTATATGTCACAGTGCTCATGATATTTTGTCTTCATATTTAGTGTCTTTCCTTTTGGCAAAATACCAAAATCCACTCTTAAAATATAATGGTAGGGACAAATCCACCCCCGAAACGAAAAATAATGACAAATTCACACACAAAATTTTGGAGTTGGACAAATCACCTCAACATCAACAATCCATTAATTTGATGTCATCTGACGTTAGCAATCCGTTATTAGTGACATAACAAATTAACAAATTATTGACGTTAGAGGATGTCACACGTTAAATTTGAGATGATTTGTCTAACTCGAAAATTTTGTAAGTAAATTTGTTTTCGTTTTTTGTTTAGGGTAAATCTGTCCCTATTACTATACTTTGGGGGTGGATTTTGGTATTTTGCCTTTTCTTTTTATTCATCTGAGAAAGATCTGTCAATTAGAAAATAAAGTGGGGTTCTGTTGAATCTGAACTCTTACCTGTATATCCACACCCTAATTCTGCTTGCCATTAACCGCTTTATTATGGGTAGAATAGTTGTTGGGCTGTCTGTCCATCCCACAGGGCTGAGCATGGAGCAGAAGAAAATTATTTAGTACATCTGAATGAAAGTCATAAACACACGCTAGTTTTATATATTAAAAGGATGTTCCTTATATTTGCCTAAGTTATCATGTTATCAGTAGATTGAGTACGATACTCTATTTCACAAGCAAGAACTTGGGAATCTTGCTTACCTGCAACCTGACCACTGCGTCGCATTTGCATGAAGAGCTACTTGTACCTCAGCCAGATTTAGGTAAGAATCCACGTAATAGGAAGAGCAAGGATCAAAATTCTCAACCTAATGATTCGAGTAAATTATAAGGTTAGCTGAGTCTACATTTAAGGCATATATGCTGTTGTTCTTGAACTATAGTTTCGTTGTTCTTTTGCTATAAGCTGAATGATATTTGAGGAGTGTAGAGACTTACAGAAACCGAGCCAGATGATGTAGCTGATAAATTGCAGGAGGGGGCATAAATATTGAAAATATTGATGTCTCCCATCTCAGCTAAGACTTTGATTTGATACCGAAGACAAATATCAGAAAAGTTACCGGTAACAAAGTCGCAGTACTTGTAAATTCCTGCATGTGTTTCGTCGGAGTTGAGAGCGTGTGTCCAATAGTAGTCAAGCATTCCCTTTATAGTTGTGTTATAATCTATGTAGGCATTACCAATCTGCATGATAGCATGTGCTAAGTATTTGAAAAGTACTTGTATGCTTGTTGGAAAGGATAATTGTAACTGAACTTACTGCAATTCCTTTGAGGTTAATCACAGTTTTATTTAATTTCTTGTTCTTAGAGAGAATGGTGTAAGCAAGCTGTGGAACGTAGTGTCCAGCATAACTCTCTCCTGCTATGAAGAAATCCCTGGTTTTGTATTGGGGAAATCTTTCAAGCCAGTTCACTAGGAAAGTGTAGGAGTCCTCTGCTGTCTTCTTGTCACCAACGTTGGCGTAGTCGGAGGACCTATTTGAATAGGAAAACCCGACACCTGCTGGTGACTCCAAGAAGATCACATTCGCCACTGCCAATTTGTATGTAATGAGTAATTAGAAATAAATTACAAGGGTTCGTAGAAAGAAAATCCTTGGGGCTATGTTTCCAGTTTTCCTACCGTTGTTCCATGCATATGGGTTCCGGTAGAGTGTCTTATTATCACTGTTAACTCTGAAAGGTCCCAGCTCTTCCATGGCTCCATATCCGAAAGAAGAACATCCTGGACCTGCAAATCATGTAGCATATATTTAACTACTGAACCCCTTTTTTTCCTTTTTCTTTGGAAGGCACACACCATGATAATAATGGCAACAAAACATGGAGGCTTTCTCCCTCTCTTTTTAATTGTTGAGGTAGGTGATAAGTAATTTATTAGAAAGTAATTCTCTCTTTTTAATTGTTGAAGTAGGTGATAATTAATTTACTAAAAAATAATTTAAAATTTGATTTGATGTTTTAGATCCATTATAAAAATGATATAAGTTTGATGCATGCGACCAAAAGTAATAATAATTCTCTCAAAGAGACTTTTACATGTGAGTCCAAGGTCTATCTAATCCTGTTGTCTTGCTTCCG